GACATTTATTCAAATGCAGAAAAAGGCCCGTAGGCAAAATGAGGTCGGCTTCTCCAATAGAATGAGCAGCAACTCTTGCTCCATTACCAACGCGGAGGTCCACCTCGTTCCTCTCCAATCTCCTTGGGCTCCTAAGCACCTGCAACATATTGCAGATATGAGAACCACAACCGGTATCCAATACCCATGAAGTAGGATTAGCACATGAATAATTGATCTCAATCATGAAAATACCTGAGGTAGAAGCATCACCATGCTTCTTGTCCTTCACACTCTTCAGGTAGTCTGGACAGTTCCTCTTCCAATGGCCTTTCTTGCCACAGTGGAAGCACTCAGCTTTGCTTTTGTCATTCGAAGCCTTCTTACCCTTTCCTTTGCCCTTCTTCTTCTTGGGTTTTCCTTTGGGTTTAAGGGAGTCACCTTTAGCAGGCTCCTTACCCTTACCCTTGGCCCTGCTAGGCCCACCAATCAGAAGAGCTTGTGTCTTATCCTTTTTGATAGACACTTCAGCAGTTGTTAACATACTTAACAACTCAGGCAAGCTCACTTGCATCCCATGCATGTGGTAATTCATGATGAATTGACTAAAGGAAGGTGGAAGTGAGGTGAGGACTAAGTCATTACTTAGTTCGGCATCCATGATAAAGCCTAGATTTCCTAGCTTCTCAATCAGGCCGATCATCTTAAGAACATGACTGCCAACAGACATGCTCTCAGACATCCTGCAAGAGAACAATTCTCTTGAGGCCTCATACCTCTCATGCCTGCCTTTAATGTCATACAACTCTTTTAGATGTAAGACAATAGAGGGAGCATCCATATGCTCATGCTGCTTTTGCAGTTCAGGCGACATGGATGCCAACATGATGCAGACAGCCAACACATTGTCATCCATGTGCTGTTTGTGGGCCTCGAAATCATATTCCGCGAACCCATCTTCCCCTTCCCTAGGAGCTACGGGTAATTCAGCATCTAGGACGTAAGCAATCTTTTCGGCCCTTAGAACAATTCTTAGGTTCCGATACCAGTCCATAAAATTTGGACCGGTCAGCTTGTTCGTATCAAGTATGGAGCGCAGTGACAGTGTATTAGTCATACTAATTAACTGAAAAATGTAAAGATAAAATTAATTAATATTTGATCATGTAGTAAAAAAAATTATTAAAGACTTTAAATAATTTTGCCCCTCCCACTATTTTATCTAAGTCAATGACCCTTCCTTTTGACTTAGGGTTATTCTACTTTTAGAATTTACCTTAGTGGGATTAAGAATGCGATTATTTATTTTAACCCCCGTCTGAGACCGCAAGATTAATTTAAATAATGGATTGATCTTTATCAATGGTATCTCATACCCTTTCTTAACATTAGGTTGACAACTCCTTGTCACTTAGTGGTGCATCTCATGCAACCAACCTAGCACTATTACCCTAAGCACATAAGCCCGGCTGGGCCTGCAGCTTATGTCTCAGTTAAGCACTAACCAGCACCCCAAGTGTCTTACACTTCTAATACTACTCTTACTCAACGAAACAGTGGGTCCCAACTGGGTTGTAGAGCACCACTATTTAGAGGAGGTTTGAGTAATATTGGTGGTGGGAGGTAATCATGCGCTTAATAATTTTATTCCTTTTAAGGGTTCATTTTATTAAGGGTTTATTAAGTCTCATCAAACGCATTAATATATTATCATGCTAGTCGTTACCTATGTCATACATCTAACGGTTTAAACTAGTCGCAATTGGACTTGCATAATAATCATACAAACGCGATTTAGTCCAACTCATGCATACTAGACGTCATAAGTCATAAAGCATACATATCGCGATACTCTATCTCATGCATACTAGTCGTATAATAACATACATGCAAATAAAACAGTTTTATTTTGAGATAGTCATGGTGCTCGCTCTTTTGTCCATCTTGCTTCTCAAGCCTCGGCTTCTTGTCGTCTATACGCCACTAGCCTAATTTCTCTAATTACAATTAAAGAAACTCCAAAACATCTTGGAGGGACAAAATTTAAAATACAAAATTTAAATTACAAAATTTGAAATTCAAATTACATCTCTTTTAAAAGAGCCCAAAATTACACATTAATTTAAATTTGAAATTTCAAATTCCGGGCACCATGACCATCCCCTTCCTCTTTTGCACCTGAAATGTTAGACAACTCACAAGTACAAAATATTATCACATAATATATATTTTTCACGTATGTCTTGATATTTAACAATTAATTATCAAAACATATTTAAAATTTAAAACTTTTCTTAATTTTTCAATTGGCCGAATTATATAACAATTAATATAATTCTAATTTTGTTGACTCTTTCTCAAAGAACACAAAATTAAATCATGCATATAGCCATCAACACTTAATGGCCGAACCATATACTCATGTATATGAGATTAATTTTCGAAAAAATTTTATTGCATGCTCATGAAACAATTCATGGAGAAAAAAATAAGAAAACAATCAAGGTGTTCAAAACACCTTTCATGGTCGAACTCCACCCTTCAAAAAGGTGCTTCCTTTTAAAACTTTTATAAAGAAAAAGACAACCATGAATATGAATGGATGCATGAACATGGCATTCGAAATAACATGTTCATAAAAACAAAAACTTTAACCGTTTAAAGTATTGTAAATTAGAATCCATTCATAAAAAATTGAATCTTTAACCTTTAAAGAGATTTTAACCGTGAAAAATATGATTACAAACAAGGTACCATCACCCGTCGATGGTAAAGCAACCGGGCTCTGATACCACTTGAAAGTTCGAAATGGCCTTGAAGGCCGATGCATGCAAGAGGGAAAAACAAAATTTTTCTTTGCGGAATATACATGCACATCAAGATCATGCTTTAGGAAAGCATGATGTTACCTTGTTCGTGAAATCACCAGATGATCAAGGCCGGTCTGAAGGGTTCAGACCCTCTAACGTTGATCCACACCACCCACTCGTCTAGGTGCAAGAACTCCTTCTTGTGAAGCCACCGGATGATCACCACAAAGAGGCTTGCTAGGCGCTCTATGTGTGAAGATGGAGGCTAGGTGAAAGTGTTTGAAAAAGTGAAGCTCTCAATGTGAAAGCTTCACAAGTGGCGCAGGAGAGAGGAGAGAATAGGCTAGGTTTTCAGAAAAACCCTTGGAGGAACAACTACCACATAGGTGCATAAGAGGAGAGTATTTAAAATAAAATACCAATCAGATTTTTCTCCTAAAAATCTGATCATTAGGCGCCAGATTGGAGAGAGAGAAGTAGAGCTGTTTTATTTCAAAAATTGCTAACAGTCTCCTAGAATATTCTCTTGAGAATTGGTTCAAAAACCTATTCAAAATTCTGATCAGAAATCTTCATAAGATCAGCTATATGGTGCGCCCCATATAGCCCAAAAAGGTGACCAGATACATCTGAGTAGTTGCATTCAAATTTGAATCAACTCACTCAGATTTTCTCCCAACTGACTGAATCTTCTGGAGCTGATTTTGATGAGCAAATCTTGCTCACCAACAACCCAAATCAGCGCCATATATGGCCTTGGATCTTGTCCAAAAGATTCTCTCATGATACTAGTGATTTGTTCCAACAAGATCTCATCTTATCCTTTTGTTATGAAACAATCTTTCATAGGCAATTCAAATATTTGAATTCAAACATTCAAGTATTCAAATTCAAATGTTCAAACATTCAAATTCAAATTTCAAATTTCAAAATTCGAATTCAAAATCCAAATTTCAAAATTCAAATTTCAAAATTCAAATTTCAAATTCAAAATTCGAATTTTGAAATTCAAATTCAAAATTTCAAAATTCAAATTTCGAATTCCAAAATTCAAAATTTAAATGTTTGATAATTAATTTAACTAATTAAATTAATTAGTAATGTCTTGGACTATCCAAGCTCATTACAATGAACTATGCGCCCTCCACCCCTTTAGGTGGAGTTCCAAACAACTTCTTGGGCTAATAACTATTATTAGGCCCAATACCTTTAATGCTAGAGCATCTAGACAATTAGGTGTTTGTGTGTGACCCATTAGGTCCAACTTAGCCACTGACATAAATGGGCTTGGGCCCAATAAGCCCAACCCATATAATGACAACATAGAGCACTAGCAATGCTTTGTTGCCCCAGAACTAGTTAGATTAATGATTTGATCATCCTATTAAACATATTTGGTTGCCGTATATATTTCCTTTCGTCTCGGTTACCTTCCCATAAAACCTAGGGTAAGGAAGCGTATCAACCCCTGCGGTTTAGGGTAAGCTTTATTCGAAATAGGGAATCTTCAATTTACAGACTCTAAAGGCAGATCATCTCATGATCTCTTTTACTATGCATAGATTCCTGAGTCCCTGTAAATGTCATCCCGATTTCTCCGGTTTACAGATAACCTAATCTCTCACAGAGATTTGACGAATTCCTTCAGCTTATCACCCTAGCCCTGTGTTCTTTCAGGACAAGCCCAACAGTATACCTATGAGTCTCCATGTTTCAGGCAGACGAGGTGCACAATCAAAGCATGCCTTCTAGAACACAGTCTAGGTAATAACTTCTGGTCTTAGGAAAGACATACCCAAATATAAAGAGACTACTCTAATGATACTCTCTGTGAGAGTTCCTCATAGAGTCTCTTTGTGGGTCCGTTCAGTGCGAGATATACCCTTATAGGTCCACCCACGACTTTAGCTAAGACATCTCCATATCTGTAGCACATGAGGTCTATACCTTGTATCCATATACAAATAGATAAGTCGTGCTAGTCTTACCCGAGATTACTGACCCCATTCTCAGTATCTCTACACTAGGAACATAAAATTAGGAATAAACATCCAGTATTCTTGAATCCTCATGATTGTGATCTCATCACAGATACTCAAGAGATACCTATTCTATTCCACGGGGTTTATCAAGTTATTCATAATATATTAATATTAATATCGAGACATAATTATGGAACAAGATAAATAGTGCTTTTATTTATTTGCGACAATATTAAAAAGGTCTACATCTCTATCCTTATTTAATCATAAGATTGTCTCTAGGACACCCAAATACTAACACATAGACCACCAAAACCAAAAGCACAATAAGAAAATGGAAAGCTCATTTAGCTCTAATGGTAATACTAAGGCTGCATATATGATAATTACATCAAAATTGGAGGACTCGTATAGAGGAAAAAAGACAAGGAACAAAATCCGGACAAAAGGAAAGAACAAAAGAATATAAAGAAATATGTGAGCTTTCAAAATTGAATGAATTGAGAATTCACTCAGCTACATTAAAAAAAGAACGAAATTATATGCCTATAAATATGACTAATGGCTTATATGAATGAAGCAGGGCTAATAACATATGAAACCAGGTTAGTTAAAACCGTTGGCTGTTGTGCCTTCGTCTTATTCGTCTTTGATCACTGTTAAAAGGATCAACCCAGCTTCTGTCCTCAGCAATAGCTTGATTCCAGCGTTCTTTGAAGATTTGATGTTCCCATGTTGATTGCCTTCTTATCTGCTCACCCCAATGTTACAATGTAAACAAGGGTCATTTGCAAAATACTTTGTGATCAAATACAAATACAAATACAATACTTGGTTTTGTAAGCAGTTCAAATCCCTCACCTCAGTTCGTTCATCAAAGGCTGCTGAACCATGTCTCTGATTAGGGAACAAAATCAATAAAAAAAAAAATGAATTTAGGATTCAATGAGTTAGTTAATGAAATAGGATTATAGGAAATAAGCAGTTGATGATTTTTTTTATTTTCATTTTTTTGGTTAACAAAGACATAGTACAAAAGGAAGAAAGGTAAATGAATTCAAACACTAGGAGAGAAAGGAGGAAAATACTTTAGTTGTATCATGATCGCTACCACCTAGAGTTTGTATTCCCTTGTGAACAACGTATTCACTATCAACAACTCCCACATTTTGAGTGCGATCTCCCTGAAAAATAACATTGACTATTTTACTGCTAATGATACTTGTCATGCAGTAAATGAAGCTTAAAGAGAAGGATAAGAGCTGGTCATTCTAGTGTAAACACAACAAACTGTTGATATATAAGTTGAATGGAAAACATAATGCATTCCAAGTTGAATGGAAAATATGATGCATTCCATGACCACCAAAAGTTAAAAACTTTGTCCAAAAAATGTGTAAAATTCTCACCTGTGCACAATATCCAAGTTTCATATCCATTCCCCATCCATGGACAAGGTCATTCTGAGAAAATGAAAATTATAATAATGAGTTACCAAAATAATGAGCTATTTTGATCTATTACTAGACAAAAACAAAAATTGAATACCTAAAATTACAACAGAGACAAGGTTAACTTCATCTGGAAATCAACTAAAATAAAATGCATGTTAATCCAAGTAAATTGGAAAAAGTTTTCTTTTCAGGTGCTGGATGAGGGCAGAAAATGATTCCACATCCTCAATATGATGCTTTTGGTACCTTGACATATTTAATGGCTCAATATAATAAATAAGGAATTTTCATTTCAAAAACAAAAAGCTAAATGTTAGGCCCATTACCAAAATTTATTCTAGAAGACTCAAACAAGGCACTAAGGTGTATGATAAGGGAAGGAGGGGGCTGGGCAGAGAAGTAGAGTCCATCATAGATAATGGGCCAAAAGAAGAGTTGGTTAAGTGGCATCATGGGAATAATGAGCGGAAAGAAGGAAGCAATGATGAGAATGAAGGAGCCTAACAGAATTGTAGAGGAAGGATAAAAAACAACACAAGGAGAGAGCAGACAAAATTGTGTAAAGTGTGGGTCTGAGTGGGGGAGAGGCCTCTCCCAAGGCTGGGAGTTCAATTCTGTGGTTTAGTCATTTCTTTTTCTGTAATTTTCTTTCTCAGTTGTCCTTGAATTCCTAGAAAATTCTAGCTCTGGATATAGTTATACAGAGTATATTCATCTTTTTCTCTAATCTCCTACCTTATTATTAATCAATCTCTTAGTTCATAAAAGTACACCAGAGTAGACAACTCAACACAGAGTTTGTATAAGGGATAAAACTTTTGAATAATTTTGAAAAAATTCAGGTGTTGTCTGTTGTTAGAACTTAAAAGAGCTTTTACAATTCCTATGTAGAATGGAAAATTACCTGTATAAGATGCCAAGTACAATACCAGGCAGATCGAGAAAAAACGGGAGCCATACCTTCCACAAACCTGCCCAAGTCATATTGAGATTTCAATGTCATTCATAACATGTTTATAGACGTAACCAACAATTACCATAAATCACCACAGCAGGAAATGTTATTAATTTCGTTTATTTTCCTTTTCAATATATTGACAGATTAAATTCAAACATCTCCCACCTTGATGGCAGATGGAAGGATGATAACACCACTTGAATAAGATCCAGAACCAAAAAACAACATGAAAAAAACACACAGCATAACCGGGTTCAAATAAAGTAACAGTTACCCAGTGCATGGCGGCCCTTGACTTGCATCTGAACACCTAGTATTGCCTCTGAGTTCATAGACTCTCCTGCATATATGAAAACTCAAGTGTAAGTATGACAATGGACAAGCAATGATTAACAAGTACATATCAATTGTCTTTGACAATAAGTCACCTATGAACTTTCTTGGTCCTAGCTCTAACTGTAATTCTATGATGTATCTCTGTTGAGTTTGGGTCAAGAGCTGGTTGAGATATCTCCAATCCTTCTTCCTTTACAATTTCAATGTATCTGCAAAAACAAATGTCCATGTTAATTCATTCTTTCTTTGATGAGAGTATAAAAATCTGTCACAAGGTGATTGACTAGCCTTTAAAAAAAGAACAAGATAAAGAACATAAATCCAACCAATAACCTCTATTTCCACCATTACAGAGCATATATTACTCAACAACCTAACGGAACCTTACTAATTTAATAACGATTATATAGAGTTTATGGTGGGTGCAAGTTCAATTAAACACTAAGGCAGAGAAATCATTATTTAGCTAGAAGAAATTATCAATACAATTACAGACTTTCATCTAAAACCAATTTTTTTTTATCAATATAGCAATAATGTATAGGTATTTAAATTGATCCAAGGCATTCAGCAATATATGCTATGATTGATATACACAAGCACACACAAGTATGTATGTATGAACCATCACTGAATTAGAGGCTAGGGCAATAAATTATCAAGTGAACAACCAATCCTATGAGCAGTTAAAGCTGGTTGTGAACTGTTTTGGTAAAATACAAGTTGACATAAAACAAAATTGATTTATATAAAAAAGAGGATACTCCAATTGGTCCCTAAATTTTTTCCCCAAAACCATGCTCTTGGTTTTTATTGTAATAGGAAATAGAGGAGAAATTTCTCATTTTAATTGACTACAAAGGCCACCTATTCATTCAGTTTTCAAAATCTAAACCAGAAAAAAAATCATATCATATCAACATCAACATCAACATCAACATCAACAACACCTTTATCCCAAATTAATTGGGAAAAAAAAATACATTAGAAGCAAAAGGTAGACAAATGTCAAAACACCACCAGCAGAGCAAAAGCAACAAAACCATCAGTCATACCTTGACGGAGAAAAATACTCCACCCCTAAATCCTCATCCCAGAGAAAGATATAATCATAAATAGAAACTATATCTGGATGTAGAAATCTTTTTGCAAACCACCTGGGAAAGAACTCAGGTATTAGTATCTAAATTGAGAAAAATAAACCAGACTGAAAAGGTATACAAATAACAAAGAAATATTAATTGAACCAAGGTCAGGCAGTGGCACATTACCCAATTTATCTATAACTAGAAGATTCACGTAGTTTCGATAAGGGGTTATATTGCTATGTAAAGTTTTTTCAATTCAAGTGGTTGTTCCGAGAAAGAAAAAGGAAATTAAACAAAAACCTTGGTTTCATTGCATTTACAGAAGCCAAAATGTCCTACAAACTTGTAACGATGTTACATAGCCTATTTGGCTCTTTTCGAGTCCAAGAGACATTTCAGTTTTCAATAAATCCTTTCTGCGATGAAGAGATGACATGCCCAATTAATTTCTAAGTTTAAAGTGACCTCCCCTCAATTAACATATGATTCAATATATAAGGTTTTCATACAGAAAAAAGCACCCATCAGTGATCAGTCTTGTACTTACCACTTTGTTTGGCTTTGAGCAGCTATGTGTATGGCCTTGCTACTCCAACTAAGGTCTCCCCATTCATCCACCTTTCCATCATAATGGAATAAAATAATTGTAAAATTTCCTGTAAGAAACTGAAACCAATGAAATTAGATCAGGAATGCTGATTAAAACAATTTTTATAACCCAATGAATCATCAAAAATACCTTTTGCACCATGGCATCTACATTATGCTTTTGTTTAATACCAACTGGAACTGCCAGCAAGTTACGATTGGAGTACACACTATCCTGCAATCAAATAATCACAACCAAGCAATCATGTTAGCTAGCTCAGGTGAAGCAGCTTTGGTAACTGTTACCATGCCCATTATAGTTTACCAAATTTTGGCCATCATCTATCAGTTTGACTAGAACTATAATGTAAAAGAACAATGCAAAGATGCTGACCTTAGACCTTGAACTACTTGGCAACCATAAAGGCCTTAACTCGAAATCTGAAGTAGCGTGTATTATACCTTGTGGCAAGCCTTTCAACTTCACAGAAGTTGCAGGATATGCCTGCACAGTTGGCATCAAAAGTACCAATGTGAATGAAGAATATGCAACCAAGTTACATTATCAAAATCCAAGAATTGTGAAGTAGGCAGGTGCATCAAAAAATTTTAAAGCAACCATAGCCATCATTTACCATAACCTTCAGAGCCTTTGCTTTAAATGCGTCAAAGCTCAAATTTGGAAAGAAGAGTCATAAAGCTAATTGGAAAAGTTAAACTAGCATCAGAGTATACCTTTTCTTCTCCCCGGGTACTCCACTTTTTGTCTATCTGATAATGGCAGATGATAAACAAAGAAGGAAATTTTGAATTAGCCATGCAAAGAAGGAAGAACAAGAATAAAATGTCATTTAATGGTGCATTATAAGAAAGGAAAAGCTTAAGCCATGTAATTGCCACCTGCCACAAAAAAGTGGCTTTTGAATGTACACCATACAAGCATCTGGAAAAAAATTCAAATAAAGCTATAGGGTTTTATGCTAAGATACTCTTTTAATATTGTTTTCTAATGATAACAAAAACTTTGGTTCTTTAATCTTTTTCGGCACCACTTCACTGATTTTCTAATCAAAATAAATACTAACATTGTTATACTAATATCTGGATAAAGCAGCACAGCAGCAAAACATAATATCAACATTTTTGGCCCATAGTTACGACATAGGATGATATCCGAAAGAATTCTATAGATCTCATACCTCTTCTTGGTAATATTGATACTTTATAGTCCTATACAAAACAAACAACATTACTGTACACGCAACTGCCATAAAAGGCAGCTGTTTCATCTTCAAACTTGATTTTCCCTGGTCCAAGAGAATTCATATTAAAAAAGTGAAGTTACAAACAGAACTCCACAATAAAAAACAGTTTACAAGAAATTCAAATTAGAAATATCCAAAGTAATGAGAATTTAAAGAAAAGATGACAAACCATCAGGCAAGACACTCTTTTTTCTCATCAGCCACCTCCATGATTTGATTGACTTCATAGAAAATTGAATCTCTTATTCAGTCTTCATCATATGACTGCTTGCTGCAACAGAAAGCATCAGAAACTATTTCATCTTACAAAGTACACAGGAATAAAAGGAAAAAAGGATTTCCTCTGAACTAAATTTCTGGTGAATTTTACCCCTAAGGTCCAAAACAGAAATGAATTAACTCATAATTGAATGACTTATAATTATATTTAGTTTTGTGTAGTACGTTGGGGATTAACACGAGGGACTAGTGAGATATTCATGCACATGCTGCAGTGTGACAAGAAAGAGAAAATACATGTGAATTCGAGAAACATGCTTAGAATATTGGCAATGATAGCAAGTGGTTCCATAGGTTGCTCAATCTACACTCGTTATCTACACCAGACAAACCTCCACATAAAATAGCAATAAACAACACCAACCTAAGCGATTTCCGAAACAAGCATTACATGATAAAACACATAAGCACCCCAAGAACACGAAAACAGAGCTGCGTGTATTGGATTTTACCGACACCAAGAGGAAGAGGTAAAAACACACAATTGGCCGAAAATTGACCTACACCAGAAAATGAAAAATCCACCCTTCACAGCAAATTCCAATCAGAAAAAATAAAATAAAATACTTTTGCTGCAAAAAGATAAAAATAAAAAAATGGAGTCTTTCTTTTTTTGCACAAAAGAACAGAGAGAAAAACTCTCTGAGCGTCTCAATCAGATCCAACTCTCTTTCTCCCTCTCCATTCAAAGAAGAGTAAAGTTTCACTTTCAACCCAAAATAACAGTTCTCAGAAAAAAAAAAAAAAAAACTTTCATTGATAGCTAAAAACGTCTTCTTTGCCATAACAAATTGAAAGATTATATTCATCAGACGAAAAAAAAAAATAGAAATTTTCCAACATTTCGAGATCTTCCCCTGAATCAATGTTTCCGACCCAATAGAGTAAACGGGCCAAAAAGAGATAACAATCGCAATGGGGATGCAGAAGAGTCTGGGAAATTAAAAGGGCAAACATGAAAAAACGAAAAGCAACAAACTTTGAAGATCACGTGACATACCCAGATACACAACGAATCCAAATGAAGAAGAAGAAGAAGAAGAAGAAAGAAAGAAACAGAGATGTCACAGGTGATGTGAGAGAGAGGAGAGCGAGGAAGAAGGAGGGGCACGTTTAAAGGGAAGACAAGACAGAGAATGATGAATATGCATGCGTGGCTAACGAATATTGCATTTGAGTATTGGTAGCTTAGCAACGACCAAATTAACAGTGTGAAGACACCTTACAACAACTCCACAACCATAAGCTATCGTGAAATAGCATTAACATAAGATAAGACCGTATTGTATTGTTTGTATTGTATTTGTACTGTTTCACTCAACTTTGATCTTATTTCTCTTCTTTCACTTTTGCATCCATTCCCGATTTCTCTCTAGTCTGTTATTGATTTGTCATTCTACATTTATTTTTCTTTTTCTTTTTGTTTATTTTTTAATCACTTAATTTTAGAGATTTTTATATATAAAATACTGGCCATGTGGTATAAGAGAATTAGTATACTTTTTTATATGGACATGAATATATGTCATCGGAATAAGTTTTAAATATTATGTAGTGAAATTTCTAAAAATGTATGGCTCCCCCGATTGCATGGAGAACGTGGATAATAAGTAGGGAAATTCGTACTGATTCCAAAATTAAGAATAGAGTCGACAGCTTCTTTTTTGTCACAGCATAATGCATGTTACAAAAGGGGGAAAGATGGGTCAAGAGTAATTCTACGTATGCGATTGAGCATAATAATAAAATTTATGAATTGAAGACAGCCATGTGTATGAAACCTCCCATTGATTCAAGGGGGAGTTTGGTGAACGGCTTTTTTTTAGGATTTTTGAGAAATTGAGGGTGGTGATTCAAAAAGACCATGTTTGATAGAAGATTTTAGAAAAAAATTTCAATGAAGTGATTTTTCCGATATTTTATTTTATGTGTATTTTTTAAATCAAAATACTACTGAAAAATACCACCGAAGAAGTGGTATTCTTGAATTCCTATAGGCTGGGAAAATCACACAAGATTTGGTTGACAAAAATATCCTCCCCGGTTGCCTATTTTTTGTTGTAATATGGTCTTCGTCCTTGATGGAGGCCCGTTTGTGGTTGCCTTTGTTGTTGGGGAGGATGCAATTAGGTTTTAAACACATATCATCATGCTCCATACAATAGTGTTTCGCTTTGAATCGATAATTGATAAACACAGGGTATACTAGGAGTGTTCATCAACGATCCAAACCGATTCAAACCGCGATAATCGAATAAATCAAAAAATTGAAATCTGAAAAAAAATCGCAAATTTTAATTGGATTGGATCGGTTTTTGAATTGGTTGATGAAAACCAATATAATCCAAACCGATTCAATATATTAATTTCTCTCTACCTACTTGGGTCTTTCCCTAATCATAACCCAAAATTTTCTAAATCCAAGATTCATTAACTCATCAATTAAGCCTAAGAAAAAACCTAGTCAGATCTCATCAACAACATTTTATCTGTGTAGAGCTTCATATCTCATTGCTCACAAAAAAAATTATATTATCGTTTACTGATACTTTTGTATTTCAGAAAAAAAAAATTAAACAAAAGATGTTATTTGCACAATAATCATGAAAAAAAATTTAAGAAAAAAATTGAAAATCAATCCGATCCAAACAGAAAAAAATTGGATTGGATCAGATCGAATTTTAAAAAAATCCAAACTGAATGAATGATTACAGGATCAAACCGAAAGAATTGAATCAAATAATTTTTACTTCTTAAACCAATCCAATCCACCGCGAACATCGTAACAAGTGCTTTATACACCCTCCTGAAGTCTGCAACTCCATTCCTTCCTGGGTATTTGGGCTATTTGAACCCCACACTCTCAAAAAAATTAAGAATATTCTCACGTGGACCTTTGTACACAATCTGACCTTCTGAAAGTAAGATTATGTCATCAAAAAGTTCAAATGTTTATGGAGTAGGTTGTAATAAAGAGATTATCATTGTAACATCCATGATATGAGCTAGCTGCCTCAAAAACCTAACAATTTGGAACCAGTTGAAATCTCATCCATTAAGAAAACTTTTGCAGGTCCTACCAACATCTCACCTGCATCCATTAAATGAAAGTCACTGCTTAAGAATCGATAATTGATAAACACAGTATCCCACCAATTTTCCATTCTCAAATTTTCTAGTGTTTCGTCTTCGTCTTCCACAAGTTGAGACAGATAGAAAAAGAGAAAGACAAGGAGTTAAGAAAGAGAAGAAAAAAAAAAAGGCTAAACAAAAAAAAACTTTAATGTTAATTTTGTAAATTCGCTCTATATTTCTATTAATATTTTATAATCAACTAAACATAGAATAGGAAAATTGACCTAATATTTTAAAAAAAAATTGGCCTACCAAACATCTTTTGGATAACATTCTTGTCAAATTTATTTTTCTATCATATTCTTGTAAAATTGTGATTTTCGGATAAAAAAAATTCGCTTCTACTAAACATCCTCCAAAGTTCTGAGCCCAATGTCATCCTTTCTAAAACAAAAGCATTCATGTTTGATAAACAAAGCTTCCTGACAAAGAATAATTTAAAATAAATGACTTGTCTACTCTCATGTAATAGAAAAAAGTATATTCTATATTAAGATACAATGTGGTGGAACCCATCACAAAAATAAAATAATAACAACACATCTATAGAAGGATTTATGACAAAAGATACAAATCTCTTGTAGAAGACTTATATTTCCCTAAAATAAAAGAATATTATGCGATGCATGAGGCATGCCTTCCTTAATTTAAATTTTTTATCTAAAAATATAAAGGGTTATGCTAATCATATTAGAGCCTGTTTGGATCCTCTCTTTTTTAACTTAAAAATTACTTATAAGTTAAAGCTAAAAAAAATTAAAAGCTGTTTGGTGAATACATAAATTTTTTAGCTTAAAAGCTATTTAAATGCACATATTTTAAGAAAATTCTCCCTTTTTCTAACACTATAGCTTTTCATTTAAAAAAAAACACACAATTTAAAAAAAGCTGATAAGAATTTAAAAAAAATTCTTCCAGAAGCTTTTGATTTTTAATTTTTTTCTTCATTATAAAAAAAAACTTTTCATTATAAAAGTTTTTTTCAAAAATATATTTCACCTAACTTCTGCTTATATATAACTTCTAACTTAAAAAAATAATCCAAATAGATACTTAAACTACCAAATTAAGTGATACTTTGTAGTTGACGAATACATTGGCAAGCTTTAAATTTTTCAGAACCCCAATGCGTGATGTGTCGTTGATTGTCTTTATTAGATTAGTGTTTAATATTTTAAGAAATACAATATAATTAACAAGTGGCAATTAATGAGTTATCAATTTTTTTAAATATTTTAATTAATTTATCATTTCGTAACTAATTTGATTTGGAGTGAATATCAAAATTAAAATTTTAAACTTCTACTTAAAACAATATTAGAAAAGGCCAATCATATATTCTTAGCTCGGCTTAATTCACTGACATCAATTGAATTAATTAGCAAAATTTATTAATGCTATGGGAAAGTGATAGAAAACTGGTATCATTCATCATTGGATTGGGTGGCCTGAAAACCTTTGTTCAGTAAATTGATGCCACCTAGTTACCTCAGCAGAATTCTCTTTAGTAATCTGTGGCCCTGCATGCACCGATTTCAAAGCTTGACACGACCCGAGTACTCTGAAGTCTGAACCCCACAAGATCTTAGTTGCATGTTAGCCACGTTCCAACACTGCTACTATGCTAAGTAAACCACACTTTCCCCAGTTCAAAATATCAGGTGGCATCCACCATAAGATGCTGAATTCAAGGGATCGACAAGGCATTACTCTATAAATGAAAAAAGACAAAAATATAAAATTATATATGTGTTTGGTAAGTTACAATTTGTCTTATAATTTTTTTCCACTTTAAGAAATTGCACTTTTTTTAGAAATTAATAGAGGCTATATTTTACTTGTGAATGAGTTTTTTAAAAGAATTTTTTATCTCTGCATCATGAGCAATTAGTTTTTTAAATTTTTACTACCAATTTTGGAATATTAAATCATGAATTTAAGTTTTTTGATCAAGTTTTAAGGTCAATAATACAAATATTTCAAGCTTTATTCTATCTTCTAAAATTTGAAAGTTGATATTCAAAATTAGTTATCATTATACTGGAGGTTCGATTATGATTGTACATTACAGCTTTTTACCACACGAAAAAAATTGTATTACAGCTAAGAGCTTTTTGTATTAAAACAGATTAAAATATAACACATTTTCACCTATAGTGAAAATAATATAATTTATTTACTTTAGCTAATCTGAGTAGGTAACGAGAAAATTTGAGTTCGATTCTCATCAACTAAATATATTTTTGAGAGGAGCGAAGAAGTTTAAATGCGACTATTCTTGTGTTGGGATATTCAAGTGTGATGAGTCCCACATTGATTGATAATGGGCTGAGTGAAGAGTATATAAATGGAAGGGACCCATGAACCCAATTCCTTAAGATTTTGAGTTGAGACATGATGTCGGATCCACTTGCTACGGTTGGTGTAGCCTTAGCCTATTGGTGGTGGTCCCCCGCCACGGGCTTCCCTTTGGACTCGCCTGACATTGGTATCAAAGCCGGGTTGAACTCGAGCTAGCATGGTGATTGGCTAGGAGGCGGGTCAATTACTTTGCGCTTAGGGTACTCGGTTGAGGGGGAGCTTACCAATGTTGGGTTTTGTTGGAATAGAAGATTCAGCTCACGAACTTGTGCAAAGAAGTGCAGAATCAGCTCAAAACGATTCTCTTCGTCCAGCACGCACACGAAGGCCTCCGTCCTATTTGAGTAACTACAAATGTAATCTGATTGAGGCACATACATACACTCCCAGTCTCACCTCTTCTAGCTCCACCTCAGGTATACGGTATCCAATTGCCAACTATGTGAATACTAACAATTTTTCTTCAAAACATCGAGTTTTTGTTGCTGCTATTGATGCAGGTAGTGAAGCTCGGTCATTTAAAGAAGCAATGACCAATGATGTTTGGCGTAAAGCTATGGCTCAGGAGATACATGCACTAGAAGAAAATAATACGTGGACTATCACTGATTTACCTGCAGGCAAACATGCCCTTCCATGTAAATGGGTATATAAAATTAAATATCATTCCAATGGTAGCATCGAGCGCTACAAAGCAAGGTTGGTAATTGCAGGTAATCATCAAGTTCCAGGAGAAGATTTCCATGAAACTTACGCTCCTGTAGCGAAAATGGTGAGTGTTAGAACTCTACTCTCGGTTGCAGCTGCAAAAGGTTGGTACTTGCACCAAATGGATGTTCATAA